TCCGCCAGCAGCACGGGCATATTTGTTTATTTATGACTCTTCCCCATGGTGGGTATCATTAATCTAGTCAGGTGCACACTGAAGGCAAAAGTGATGATTATTTGGAGTTCAGGGCACGCCGACTACCCTGGTCATATGTCGCCCATTTGTGGGTAAAAGCGACAACCATTCACACAATGGCAATAACAGCGTGATGGTGGCGATACATGCAAAAACAGCACGGACATGCCATTGTCATTTCTGTTGACCGCCCCGTGGTACGAGGAACGTTCCGCCACTCCGCGCCTCGGTGATCGCAGTCAGGAGGGAATGGTGCCCCGCACGCGCGGTCTATAGGAGATTGATCCTTGTTGCTACCAAGCGACATCTCTCCAGATGCCGTTCACCCTCGTTTCCCCTCTGGAACATCTCAGAACGTCTAACGAAGGGGGCTCTGAGGGCTGGCGGGCAGTCGTTTTATTTAGACCACTTAACATTTTGAGGCAATCTCGCCGACACAGCCTTTCCCTGGCACTCAGTCAAACTGGCGATTTGAGGGTTGGTGCGGTACGCCCACAGCGTCGTATCGCAGTGACAAGTCCTTGTTATTCTCGGTGTTCCAGTCGCCAGCACAGCTGATATTGCCTTCTATCGCACCCTTCCTATCACGTTACATTCAATCACACTGCTTTTGGCCAGGCAAAAAGGGGGGGGGGGAGCGCCACGTGGACGAGAATTACGCGTCCATCGTAACGGGGTTCTGCGGACCACAAGAGGGCCGCACCATGCATGGCTGCATCCGAGACTCATGACCCACGCCACAGAGATTGAGCGCCAGCGCCACCCCAGCCGCCGAGCGTCAGCAGCTAAGCCCTGTGCAGAGTTCAGCTCGGGCGTCCGACGCCGCCCCTCACAGTGTCACAGATCGCCAGCGTCCGAGCCCTACCCGCAGCTCAGATCAACTGGAATGGCACTTAACGTGTGCACCTTGTGCGTGAAGGAGACGCTTAGGCACAATGAGAAATCTCCGATAGCAATGCTGACGTTGATGTTTGGCAAGCACGCAAGAGGCAAAAGGGTTTGTTGTCGTTCCGCAGGGCGCCGACCCATGCGCCTTAATTGCAACGGGATGAATCGAAACGTGCTGGTTGGCGGTCGAAGACCGCATGAGCACTGTGGAAGTCAGCAGCCCTCCCGTCACTCATGCGTGGGTGACGCCGGGGGCAGCTCACGATGCTTGTGATCGTGCAGTCCGATTTCCGAACTTTGGGCATTTCGCCGGCCCACAAACGAAATAAGAAGTTAAGAATTGCAGCGTGATATGCAACAATAAGAAACATTCTAATCATAAAACGGCTATGCATCGGAGACGGGGTCAGGGCCGTCTCCAGAGCCGGCTGGCCGGCGGCGGCGGCGGCGGCGGCGCGCGCGTGACCACTGCCTCGCATTCGGGTCACGTCCGCCGCGGATGCGGGACAGGTTCAGCCTGAGCACTTTCTCTTTCTCCTGGTGCGCCTTTCGATTTCGGTGATGCCGGCGCTCCTTTCACCGGGCGACGCGCTGCGACCCCAACCGGCCGGGCCCGGCGCGGCCTGGCTGACGCCGCCCTCGGGCGACGGCGGCGGAGCAGCGGCAGGCGCGAGCCCAGGCCCCGTCCGGCGGCGGCCGAGCCCGCTCTCGTGCCGAGCGTGCCGCGGCCGTCACGAGCAGCGTCACGCACCGCTGGTGCCGCCACTCGCGCCACCGCCGCCGGCCGTCGGTGAAAGCCAGGGCAACGCTCGCCGCCGCCGGGGTGGCGCCCAAGGACAGCTAGCCGCAAGGTCGATGCCACGGTAGATCTCTGCCGCGTCTGTTCGCCATCGCCCCTCACAGGACAGAAAGTGCGGCCTGGCCGACGTCGGGGAAGAGGAAGCTGTGGCAATGAGGTCGGTGTTGGCTCGTTAGCACGCCCCGGATCTAAACGCCACCACGCCCGCGGCTCAACCGATTATGCCGGCCGATAGCCGCTTATTATGGAGGCCACGGGTAGGCGGCACTCTGACAGGAAGGGATGCGACAAACCCACCAGGACCGGTCATGGCCGGTGACCGACTGATCCCCGGATGCAGAAGATAGGTCAACATTTTCATAACATGACAATGGATGACACGACGACGAGAGAGAGAGACGTGAGGAGTGGCATCTTTACAATCATGGACAAAAACCAGCCACTGCACCTACTCTAGTAGCAGTCAGGTTGATTAATATCGAGGTGAAATCATTGCAACGCCATCAATGTAATTCAACACACAAATATGTCATGTAAATTCAAATGAAATGCGCTACTGAACCGCGATGTCTCGAAAAATCGGGTGCGTTTGCAGAATCTCACAAGAGGGGGCCTAACTAGAAAAAAAAATGATAAAAACAGCGCGGAGCAACAATGCCAAGCACCCTGCATGGCGTATCACCATATGGCATGTTTTCAAGCTACTTATCATGGCGGGTCCAACTGCATTTTTCAATTGCTGCTTTTTATCACGTGTCTTTTAATGAATGTAAACAACCAAATAATGGGGTGGAAGCATGTCGTCTTGTTCCACCCTCCTCTCTGTCACTGTGACAAATGACTCAGTCGCCGGATACGGATGACAGACTATATGCAATTATCTCGTCAAACGATCCGTTGAAATAACGAATGTAAAGTTCACATAACCACGTACCCACACGCACCGACAATGCCTGCGCCCGACATGCTATAGTTCGTGACCCATTTAGCAAGCAATCCTTTTCCCTCGTAGAGTCCACACAGCCTCCAGCATGTAGGCACTGGCTACAGGCCTTCCTATCGAGACTCGAGGCAGTGCACCCTCCAGTCTGCAGGAACTGCTTCCAGACAGACTCCAGCCTCCAGACACTGCCTCCAGACAGCCTCCAGCCTGCAGGCACTGGCTCCAGACAGCCCCCAGCCTGCGAGCACCGGCTCCAGACAGCCTCCAGCCTGCAGGCACTGGCCCCAGACAGCCTCCAGCCTGCAGGCACTGGCTCGACGGCCTCCAGCCTGCAGGCACTGGCTCCAGACAGCCTCCTGCCTGCAGGCACTGGCTCGACAGCCTCCAGCCTGCAGGCACTGGCTCCAGACAGCCTCTTGCCTGCAGGCACTGGCTCCAGACAGCCTCTTACCTGCAGGCACTGGCTCCAGACAGCCTCTTGCCTGCAGGCACTGGCTCCAGACAGCCTCTTGCCTGCAGGCACTGGCTCCAGACAGCCTCTTGCCTGCAGGCACTGGCTCCAGTGCTCCCCACCGAGAGCTGAGGCGGCCCGGGAGCGGGAGCGGCCGGCGCGTCGGCGGTGCGGCCACATCAGCCCTGGTAACCCGGGAGCACTGCAGCAAAGGGGGTCGGACGGCGCCAACGCTGGCCTGTTTGGTGCAGGGACGACACGCCGATCTCCGCCTGTGCATTTCAACCCATGCACTTTAATTTCTGAGACCACACCCGCGCACCCGACCTCAACCGGTGCACCGATCTCAACCCGGGCACAGCCCGCAGATCTCAACCGAACGCACTTTTGCTAGTTAAAACCTGTAAATATGTTACACTAAGTTCACTAACGTCGTTTCACTTCAATTTTAAGTAATTGAATTATGTCAGCTGTACACGCTTGTGTATAGCAGCAACGAACGTGCATCCTTAAGCAGGAGTTTTTTTTTTACTATTTACTAAACGTCTTTGTTTCCTTTTTCACAGAGCGGAGGAGGTTTGAAACGGCAGGTGTCGGTCAGCGATGCTCTGGCGTCCTCACACCGGCTGGCATCACGTTCCGCTACATGTGACGCTTGATGTCAGTGAGGTCAGACCTCGTCACTTACCACCACACTGGCCGTCAAAATGCATGGCCACTCTGCTATCACGAGCAGCCATTGTAGGGGCTAATAGTTGGCACCAGCGGACGTTGGCAGTCGACGAACGCTGATTTACGCACATTTAATAGCCCCCTCTCCCCCCCCCCCCCGCCCACACTGCCCATCATAGTCGCCTCCCGCCTAATGACACATCCAATTATACGACCACAATCCCCTGCCTTATCAGCGCAACACCACCCATCAGACACAACGGTCACATCTGACAAAGGACCGCCACTGACGCCGCCCCAAGGGGGCCGACCGTGACCAGGCCGTGTCCGCCGCCCACCGCGGGGGCCGACCGGTCGGCACCGGACGCTGGCGGTCTGGCGTCCGCCGCCGCAGCTCCTCCTCCCAAGCCCGGCACGCGCCCAGGGCTGGGGCAGGACGGCCCCACTGTCCGGCCCCCATCCCTCCCAGGGGCTCTGCAGTCAGCAGAGCGCCGCCCGCTGCCCTCGCCCGGCTCCCAGCCGCCGCCGACGGCCCCGCGGGGTGACGCACGCTCGCGTGCCTGAGTACGGCCCAGCTGGAGTCGGAGCGTTGCGATCGCGCCAGCTGCTGCAGCGCGGCACCGCGTTGGCGTGATTTCAAAATGCACGGTCACCGCGCTGGTTTGTGCAGTGGAAGCCATCTTATGCAATGCAGCAGGTATTTTTCCTTAAACTGACTGCTGCTTCTCAGAACAGGGACAATCCACGTACAGTGCACGAGCGCGTGGCCGCCCCGTTCACCTTCGTAAGGGTTCATGCTTCCCCACAAGAGTGTCCCTTCGTTTTATCTAAAAGAAGCGCATCGCCAGGCACGGCGCTAACGGAGTTGGCGCCGGCTGAGCAAGTTTCCCCTCGCGCTATCATATCGCATGTCATAAAGCACGTCTTTCCCTGAAGGCTCGCTGCCGTGACGACCCAGTTAAGGGCTACGAACACTTCCTATGCCAGCCACACTGACCCAGTACAGGGCAACGAACACTTCCCATGCCAGCTACGCTGAGCGGGTACAGGGCTACCCACGCTTCCTATGCCAGCCACGCTGACCCAGTGCAGGGCGAAAAATACTTCCAGCCTCGCTAACCGCCGTTATATTTGGCCATGAGGCAGCAACCCTTTCCATGCACAAGTCGAGACAGACAGACACTCACTTTGCTCCTGGGTGCCGGTGCAGTTGTACTCCGCACCGAGGCTCTTGGCCTTCTCCTTGTCCTTCACCTCCTGCTCCTGTGCCTCCTTCTCCATGTTGAGCGACCTGCAGAGAGAGGTGGTAGCATTAGCCCCACCCGGTTGGGGGTTGGCAGGAGGGCGGTGGCTGGGTCCGCGACGCGCCGCCCAGGAGCGGACGCCGCCGGCCGGCTGGCGCCCGGCGCCCAGCGGCCGGGGCTGAGGCCAGCTGCGGCGCCGTCAGACAGGCCGCCGCACATCAGCGCACAGCTCGGTCCTCCGCTCGGGCCGGCCGCCAAAGACACTGGCTCACGCATCGGTCCCGTCACCCGGGAGCAGCGCCGCTTGTGAGCCTACCTGGATTTGCTATGGTGCGCGGCCACTGATACAGCGCAGTGCATGACCCTTGTTACTACAGGCGCCAGACATGCACGTAGTCTCATAACAACGGTAGCAAAACATCGATGCCAATGAGTCCCGGGACGGCTGGCGGCCAACAGCCGCTATCAGGGTCTCCCGCTCCGAGGCAGTCATACGCGCCGTGAATGCAGAAGCTTCCGCCCGTCCAGTCCCAGACGGGTGCGTCGGCGTCGGCGGCGATGTGCGCCGGCGACACCGACGCCGGACGGCCGCTGCATGCATATAACCTCTTTCCTGCACTGCGCTCTGCAGCTATGACTCCCAGGAGCAAAAAGCCAGACTCCACCGCCAGCATCCATGGACAAAATGTTCGCCCTGTTTATCACAGGGGCACAATCATGGCATCGAACATCGACGTTAGAGTAGAAGAGCCGTACAAAGTTTCGTGCTGTCACAACCGGCTCGGCGGCCGGCCGGCCCCTGTTGCGGTCTCTGTGCGGCGCGGCCATGGCCGCGGTTCGCCGGGCCGAGCCGCTCTCCGCGGCACGTCTGATCCCCGGTCGCCGCCGTAAACAGGCGGAGAGCGCAGGCGCCGGCACGAGCGGCCGCCCGCCAGACCTGGCAGCAGCACGGACAGCAGCGGCCGCGGGCCTCACACGGCCACGTTCGAGACACAGCGGCCTGCAGATAAAGCCGCAAGACAGATTTTAACTAACGCCACGGCGCAAGCCAGCTCCCATCCGTCTTCAAAGGGAAACAGATGTCGGGACAGTGCGAGGTCCGTATCACCGGCACATTAAACACGCACGCCCTCCGTGATACGGTAAACACAGCAGTGGGCTGGGTACGTCAGCCGGGCAAACAGCCGACTCGCGGCCTTGCAGACGCCCAAATACCCTCCAGACCCCGCCCCTATTACAAAAACGCCCCACCGCTTCGAGTGTGCCGAAGCACACTGTTCTATCATTCTTATCACGGGCCCCGGCCGCCAGCGCTCGATGTAATCCTCGTTAACTTTCTTGGAGAACTGACGCACCACACGTCCCTGGTGTGCCGCAAGAAAAGAGCAACAAGTGTCAATAAAAAAAGAAAATGGAAAAGCTGTCTGCAAGTACAGAAGGCAGGCGGCCAACACGACGTAGTTGGTCGTCGGGTTCGCGATTGGATGCAGCTGAAGCTGGTCGCACTTCGGGTACGGAACAGACGCCAGATGTCCTGCTACACACCCGGCGGTGCTCGTGTCACTGCAGACACATGAGTCCCAGTGTGGCGAGGACATTTGGGCCGGCCTCGGCGCTGGTGCAGCTTGAGACACATTCATCACAGAGCAGCCTGGCACGGGGTCAGTGCCGACCTATCCGGCTGAGGCACCGCTCCGGTCCGGCCGATACTGACAGAGCAGCCTGGCCTGGCATGGGGTCAGGCCGACCTATCCGGCTGAGGCACCGCTCCGGTCCGGCCGATACTGACAGAGCAGCCTGGCCTGGCATGGGGTCAGTGCCGACCTATCCGGCTGAGGCACTGCTCCGGTCCGGCCGATACTGACAGAGCAGCCTGGCCTGGCACGGGGGCAGCGCCCACCTATCCGGCTGAGGCACCGCTCCGGTCCGACCGATACTGACAGAGCAGCCTGGCCTGGCATGGGGTCAGTGCCGACCTATCCGGCTGAGGCACCGCTCCGGTCCGGCCGATACTGACAGAGCAGCCTGGCCTGGCATGGGGTCAGTGCCGACCTATCCGGCTAAGGCACCGCTCCGGTCCGGCCGATACTGACAGAGCAGCCTGGCCTGGCACGGGGGCAGCGCCCACCTATCCGGCTGAGGCACCGCTCCGGTCCGGCCGATACTGACGCACCGCCGGCTGCCAGGGCTATCGTAACGACACACTGCGTCTCTCTGTTATTGAGAAGCTGTTCCGGCGCCAGCTATCCCGCGGAGTGACGCGACCACCCGACCACCGTCCACCGGTCCCCAGCAGCTGAGGCGGGACGCCGCCAGACTTACGGCACTGCTCCGTGGGCCAGACAGTACGGTCCGCCAGCGGTCCCCAGCAGCTGAGGCGGGACGCCACCAGCCCGGGTTACGGCACTGTTCCGTGGGCCAGACAGTACGGTCCGCCAGCGGTCCCCAGCAGCTGAGGCGGGACGCCACCAGCCCGGGTTACGGCACTGTTCCGTGGGCCAGACAGTACGGTCCGCCGGCGGTCCCCAGCAGCTGAGGCGGGACGCCACCAGCCCGGGTTACGGCACTGCTCCGTGGGCCAGACAGTACGGTCCGCCGGCGGTCCCCAGCAGCTGAAGCGGGACGCCACCAGCTCGAGTCACCGCACTGTTCCGCGGGCCCCACAGCATGGTGCGCCGCCGGTTGACGCATCGGGCCCATAGCCGGCACGGCGTGCTGAGGCCATCGCGGCGCCGAGTCGACGCTACACCTGGAGCTACCGGGCCTGGCAACGCTGCGTTACCTGAGGCCATCACGGCGCCCAGTCGACACTACACCTGCAGTTACCGGGCCTGGCAACGCTGCGTTACCCGAGGCCATCACGGCGCCGAGTCGACACTACACCTGCAGCTACCAGGCCTGGCAACGCTGCGTTACCTGAGGCCGTCACGGCGCCGGGTCGACACTACACCTGCAGCTACCAGGCCTGGCAACGCTGCGTTACCTGAGGCCAGCACGGCGCCGAGTCGACACCACACCTGCAGCTACCGGGCCTGGCAACGCTGCGTTACCTGAGTTCAATAAGCAGAAAAGCTCATATAGTTGATAGGAGTACGGATGGTCGACCAGACACAGATGCAAATAACTCGCAGCACGATGGTTGTGAAAGGGGCTACAGCTCCAGTACTACCGCCACCTGAAGGGGGAGTCTCGGAGGAGTCATATAAGCATCAGCGCGATGCAATAGTCGCCATTAACAATGCGCCTCACGTCCACGTAAGCGCTAGGCCCTGCCGCTTCACACAAGGCACCGGGCGCAACACCAATCCTCATGCCAAGTACACGGTGCAACGCCGAATGAACTTCACATCGACGCACCCCCTAATACCCCCACCTGGCACAGAGTGTATTGGATCAAGCTCTGGCGTCGTCACTGTGACTGACACGCTCGAGACCCGCCGCGTTAGCTTCGCCAGGCATGAACTGCCCACCCGCCGGGTCAACAGTTAATTAAGCCAGCGATCATGCCAGGCACAGCCGTCGTTTGTATCCGCTCCACGAGGCCGGCCTAGATATTGTAATACACGGCAGCCTGTTGGTCGAACCGTCAACAACACAAGCGAGTCGACGAACACCAGTTCAGCAGCCATCGGCTCAGGACAGGCGTGCAGTGTCAGATGCACAGCGCCGGGCTGGGGCACCAGCCAGTCAATCAGCAGTGCGGCATCAATCAACCAATCAGCGATTATTTTGGGGCCGCATGAAAGGCAGTCAAAACAGACTGAGACAGATATGAGGGACAGATAAAGATAAGACATGAGGGATGAGACAGACAGATATGAGGGATGAAAAGACAGATATGAGGGATGTTTCGTGTCCGGATCTCACCACCCATGGACGGTGTCGTGTGAGTAGTTAGCAGCATGGCGGCGAAGGCCCCAACAGCGCCATACCCTTTGTGTTCAATCCAAAACAACAAAAAACATATGTCTTCGGGCTTCGACCATCGCCGACCAACATAGATCTAAATGGCGGACCAGACTAAATTTAAAAAATCACACATCGTGTAAACTTCTGGGACACGAAATGCCCCCAGATGTGCAAATGCAGACAGACAAGACATCCAGCTAAATGCATTTAGTGCGCGCAGATTTCAGCAGAAGAACCCACGCTCGCCAGTCGACACCACATCAGCTTCCGCCGCGGGAAGACTGTCAAATGCGCTCGGTGCTCGCTGCTGAGGTCCAATGGCCCGACCGGCGGCGCCGGTCGCCGCGGCCCACATCAACCCCGTGCCCAGCCTCAGGCGGAGCGGAGCGCACCACGCGCCGACCCGGCGCCCCAGCGTGTCGGGTCGGCCCGGCTCGGCCGGTCGTCAGCCGGTGGTCGGGGCGGGGCGCACCACGCGCCGACCCGGCGCCCCAGCGTGTCGGGTCGGCCCGGGTCGGCCCGGCTCGGCCGGTCGTCAGCCGGTGGTCGGGGCGGGGCGTGCCAGGCGCCTCCTGCGCACGGCCCGGCTCACCGCGAGCGAGCCCGATCAATGGCCTGACCCGGCGCCGTCCACGGCCCCGGCGACAGCCCCGCCGCTGACCGGCCACCCCACCCCACCTGATCTGACCTGACCTGAAACTGTCAGAGACGGACACCCGGCGCCGTCCGCGGCCCCGGTGACAGCTCCCGCCGCTGACCGGCCACACCACACTACCCCACCTGACCTGACCTGAGAGGTCAGAGACGGACACTCGGCGCCGTCCGCGGCCCCGGCGACAGCTCCCGTCGCTGACCGGCCACCCCACCCCACCCGACCTGACCTGACCTGACCTGAGAGGTCAGAGGCGGACACCCGGCGCCGTCCGCGGCCCCGGCGACAGCTCCCGTCGCTGACCGGCCACCCCACCCCACCCCAACCAACCTGACCTGACCTGAGACGGTCAGAGACGGACACTCGGCGCCGTCCGCGGCCCCGGCGACAGCTCCCGCCGCTTACCGGCCACCTCACCCCACCCCAACCCACCTGACCTGACCTGAGACGGTCAGAGACGGACACTCGGCGCCGTCCGCGGCCCCG